GCAATGGAAGGTCGCGTGCTTGATGCTCTCCTCCCATGGCTCGTGGCCGTCCGCACCCAGCGCACCCAGCCATTGCTTCATCTGCACTCTGACCAGGGTGGCGAGTTCACCATTGGTCGGGTTGAGCCGTTTGGTCGTGCGCAGGGCATCCCTCATACGTTCACGTAGCCTAAATCACAATAGCAGAATGGGATCGTCGAGCGTCGCAATGGCTTGGTCATGGAGATCACTCATGATTCATGCCAGCCCACCAGCTTAACGTGTGGCCCCGTGCCTTACGCCCACACGTTTCGCGGACCCTCCTCGGGACTGGGTCACTTGGTCAGACGTCTGCATTACGATTTTGGGGCTGTCTTGCTCACGTCCGCGATCCTCACGCGGACAAGCTCTCAGTGCGCACTGGCCCCATGTCTTCCTCGGTTGGCCCCTTAACACTCAGGGCTGGTTTTTTTACCATCACAACTCTCGCTGTTTAGCTTGCTTAACGTCAAATTTGACGAGTCAGCCTGCTTTTACACTTGGAGTACCAGTCACAACGTTTCAAGAGTTGCCTTGCTGAGATGATAATCAAGCCGTTGCAGCGTAGAAAAACGGATTAACAGAACCTTACAAGTCATTCTGCGCAAGCTGCTTTTGGAAGCACGTCTGCTAGTGCATCATTGGCTCTGCGCGATGGACCACGCCATGTTGCTACACAACCTTTTGTCATCAATCGCCACAACTCATCGCCTTACGAGAAGTGGACAGGGAAACAGAACAGCAAAAAAATGTTACGTGTATTCGAGTGTATGGTACAGTTTAGGCCTCGGAATACTCCTGATGTATTGGCAACGAGCAAAATTTCGGCATAGAGAAGCATTTTGCGGCATGGAAAATCCGGGATGTGGAGGACCGCGTGACAGTCCCGGCTCGTAACTTTCTCTTTTACGAGAACTTCACCTACAGCACTTGGCATGTGTAGCATGCCAACCAAGAAGATTTTACAGCTGGCTTTACTGGAGCACGCACCTTCGCAACAGGGGCGACGAAGCAGACGCGGTGGAGGAAGCTATCTCTGGTGCGTCAGCAGCTGCCGGTGCCGGCCCTTACTGATTAGACCCGCTTGAGTTTGACAAATCAGATCCACACAATTACGTCAATGCCGAGGCTTACTACAGGTTCGTGTGAAAGATAGAACGAGGAATGTTTGCATTGAGCAGCATGAGGATTACAAGTAGGAAACCCTAAAGTGTTGTACCCCATATGAACTACCCCACTACAGCCTACACAGACTCTAGCATATAAGTTTGACACACCCCCATAGGCAAAGTGGGGGAGAACAAGAGGTTTCAAGAGAAGCAAAGCAAGCTCAGGGTCGATCACAAAGTCACCACGCATTCTGAGCACACGTAAATGGCCACAAGGCCAGTTCAAATGCAGAGTTATATAAAGACAAACAAACAATACAGTGATCACAACCTAGCAAGTGTAAGCATGCAGGTATATGTATAAAGATCACAGTACAAGCAAAGTCAAGAAGTAAGCAAGTGAGGCCTAGTGGGCACAAGGCCTAGAACAGTACATAAATGCTGCTGATCACAAGGCTGAAGTGCCTTGGTGAAGACATCAGCAGTGTTGGCCCGAGTGGCCACGTAAGCAAGACGAAGCTGACCACGCTGCAGCAACTCTCGAGCAAGGAAGTAACGCAGAGCGATGTGCTTCGTTCTGTGCTCCAGTCTGTGCTCCTGACACAAGGCAATCATGGCCTTGTTGTCGACGTACAGCAGTGGAGGAGAACGAGGCGGCTCTCCCAGGTCGGTCAGCAGGTAGGTGAGCCAGCGTAACTCCTGTGCAGCCATGGCCCCTGCGTAGATCTCAGCCTCACAACTGGAGCTGAGAACAGAAGACGAGCGGGTAGACCGCCACGAAACAGAGCCTGAGCCGAGGCTGAAAGTGTAACCCTGTGACGACCGCTGCGTAGCCAAGTCGTCAGCCCAAAAAGCGTCTGCGTGACCAGTGAGGACAACTCGAGCCCGTCCTCCAAGCACGAGCCCCATGCCCAACGTACTGCACAAGTAGCGCAACACCCTCTTAGCGACATCCATGTGCTCCTTCCGGTGTCTCCCAGGAGCAACATGGCGTGCCAGAATGCTAAGAGGGCATGCGTGGTCAGGTCGAGTGCAGGTCATCAGGTACATGAGGCAGCCCACAAGCTCTGGATACGGGCCACTCGGCTCTACGGACTCATCCGAAGGCAGAGCTGAGAGCGAGTGGCGAGTAGGCAGAGGAGTGGGCTGAGGCGAGGAGTACGTGAAGCCGAAGCGCTGAAGGACCTGCTGCACCATATGTGACTGAGTCAAAGTAATGGTGCGCTGTGCTCTGTCCCGGGTGATCCGCAAGCCACGATAGGTGCGCAGCTCACCCAGGTATGTGCACGTGTGTCTCTTCTGCAGCTCCGACTTCACGTGGGCGAGTCCCTTAGTGTCAGAAGTAGCAAAGACCAAGTCGTCGACGTACACGAGGACGTAGAACGGCGGCAGAGAGGTGTCGGTGCGTAGAAATAGCGACGGGTCAGCAGTGGAAGGAGCAAAGCCAAGAGCCGTAAGGGTCGTCCTCAGTGTGTCGTGCCACTCACGGGGCGCCTGGCGGAGACCGTAGACTGGCCGCCGTAGACTCCACTTTGTACCAGCAGGAAACGACCCAGTGAAGCCAGGTGGGCGGCGCAGCCAGATCTCCTCGTGCAGGCTGCCCTGTAGGAAAGCAGTGCTGAAGTCAAGAGAGTGCAGCTCGTAGTCACGCTGAGCAGCTACGTGCAGCAGAACCCGAAGAGTGATCATCTTCGGGGTGGGGGAGAAGGTATGGAAGAAGTCAACTCCCTGTCGCTGACTAAAGGCTCGTGCAACGTAACGCGCCTTGAAGACAGGCGGAGAATCCGGCGGCCGCTTCACCCTGAAAATCCACATGCCACTGACGATGTTCGCCCCAGGCGGGGGAACCTCGTCGACGTAGGTGCCTGTGGACTTCCAGGAAGCCATCTCTGCGTCCATGGCTGTCTGCCACTGAGAGGAGTAGAGACCCTCTATCGCCTCTGCGTAAGAGCGCGGGTTCGGGATGTTTGGTGCATCCGGGTCTCCCTCAGGGGCAATCAGCATGGACACGAGATGAGGTAAAGCAGCGGCAAAGCACTCAAACTCCTCTTGTCTGTCCTTAAGGACGTCCGTGCCAAGAGCACACTCACCCCGGACGGACAGAGGACAGACGGACCCAGACTCAGCAACAAGACTAGCGGCGTAGTCTAGACGACAGGCGGCAACAAAGTCAACAAGCTCAGCAACTAGAGCAGACGTAGCAGTGAACTCGAACGTAGGGTCAGTGACAACAGTGGCCTGGAGACGAAGGACTAGTGGCACGAAGGGAGTCAGACTCCGGGTCCGGACCGTCAGGAAGAGAGGACGCAGGAGGAGACGGCAGAGGGACACGCTGTGGAGCAGTGGAAGGACGAAGTGTCATCAAGTGTGTGCCGGGGACAGGGGGAGGACGCTGACGCGGAACACGATGACCAGTGCGGACAGCGCGAACAGGCGACGCAGGACGAGACTCAGGCGACGCAGGACGAGACTCAGGCTCACGACGCTCCGTAAGACCTCTAGTCGGCCCAGAGTAAGGAGAAGGACCAGGCAGTAGAGAGGCTGGCTGTAACTATGACTGCGACTGGTCAGGCGGTGGACTCAGTAAGGGAGGAGTAGGTCCAGTAGAAGGCGGGAGACCAAGAACCTGCTGAAGGAGCGGAACGTAGTACGGCCGCAACCGCGCAGGCCTCCAGAAACAGCAGAGACAGCACCAGTACCCCCAGCTCCAGGGTCTCCAGCTCCAGCTCCCGCAGCACCACCAGCTCCAGCACCTCCAGCAGCTCCAGCTCCAGCAGCACCTCCAGCAGCACCTCCAGTAGCTCCAGATCCAGCAGCACCTCCAGCAGCACCAGCTCCAGCGCCTCCAGCTTCAACCCCTGCAGTACCACCAGCTCCAGCAGCTCCAGTACCTCCAGTACGAGCACCTTCGGCAGCTCCAGCACCAGCAGGACTTCCAGCAGCTCCAGCTCTAGTAGTACCTCCAGCTCCAGCAGCTCCAGTACCTCCAGTACGAGCACCTCTGGGACCAGCGGCTCCAGCACCTACAGCAGCAGTAGCAGCAGCACCACTAGCTCCAGCAGCTCCAGTACCACCAGTAAGAGCACCTCCGGGACTAGCAGCTCCAGCACCTCGAGCAGCAGCAGCACCACCAGCTCCAGCAGCTCTAGAAACTCCACTACCTTCATCACCTCCAGCACTAGCAGCTCGAGGGCCTCCAGCTCCAGCAGCGCCACTCCGTAGGCTACAGCGCCGAGCGTACCACTGGCGCAACTGCTGTGGTGAGAGTGTCTCCCGCCGGCTAGACCGCTGGGGCGAGGCTCCAGTGGGACCTCCAGGACTAGTAACTCCAGCACCTCCAGTACCTCCAGTACCAGCAGTTGCACCAGCACCTCCAGGATTAGCAGCTCTAGGGCCTCCAGCTCCAGCAGCGCCACTCCGAAGGCTACAGCGCCGAGCGTACCACTCGCGCAACTGCTGTGGTTAGAGAGGCTCCCGCCGGCTAGACTGCTGGGGCGAGGCACCAGTGGGACCTCCAGGACTCGTAACTCCAGCAACTCCAGTACCTCCAGAACCAGCAGTACCTCCAGCACCTCCAAGGCTAGCAGCTCCAGGGCCTCCAGCTCCAGCACCAGCAGTACCACCAGCAGACTCAGCACCCCCAGTCTCAGCAATCGCAGGCTCAGTACCCTCAGGCTCAGCACCCCCAGGCTCCGCACCCTCAGACGCAGCAACCCCAGGCTCAGCACCCCCAGACTCCACACGCTCAGGCTTAGCACCCCCAGGCTCCGCACGCTCAGGCTCAGCACCCCCAGCAGCACCACCCCCAGCAGCACCACCCCTAGTAGCAGCACCAGAGTCAACCGCTACCTCGACAGGCTTGACAGCGTCTACCTAAGACACACCTGAGGGAGCAGGACCCTGAGGGGGGAGGGGGTTTACCGGAGGAGGACCTGGTGCAAGGAAGAGCGGCGGGGGGGGGGGGGGGGGGGGGAGAGGGGCAGTGCGGTAGGGAAAGAGACGGTAAAAGGGACCCGACTCGTCGAACGTGACATCCTGAGAGGGCAGGACACGGCGCGAGGTGGGGTGGTAAAACTGCCAGCCAGGCGCGTCAGGGACAAAGCCAAGGAAGACGCAGGGAATAGCACGGGCGGAGAGCCTGTCTGCGGTGGTATCGCGGACAAAGGCACGAGAACCCCAGACCCGAAACACTGACGCATCGCCAACCTTCCCCGTCCAACGCAGTGTGGGCGAGGTCTCCGGCAAGGAGACACGGGGCCAGAGGTTGAGCTGATGCACAGCGTATCGGACCGCAAACGGCCACAGAAAATGGGGGGCAGCCGCATGGACCATGGAGGTACGAGCTACCTCCATGACTAAGCCAATGCGGCGCTCAGCAATCCCATTCTGCTGCGGTGAGGCCGGGAGCGTGAACGTCTGGCGAATGCCCTCCCCACGACAAAAGTCCCGCAGAAAGTCCGAGGCAAACTCCCCACCTCTGTCAGAGTGCAGACGCAGGATGGGAAAGTCCGTCTCGAACCGCTCGCGGAGCTGGAGACGGGCAGCGCGGATCCAAGGGATCAAAACATCAGGGACTTCACCCTTGGTGCGCAAGGGGAAGACCGTGGTGTAACGCGTGTAGTCGTCTACGACAAGCAAAAAGTACCGCTCGCGGTCCTGTCCACGGACGCGGGCTGGGCCCCACATGTCCATGTGGAGAGTCTGCAGGGGAGCAGTCGTCGAGGGAAACGAGGAGGAGTGAGGAGCGGCGCGCTGCTTCCCCTCGACACAAGGAAGACAGGGAGGAGCAGGCGAGGGTGGGAGGGGAGGGAGAACCCTGGGAAGACCAGAGACAAGGACACGTCGGTGCATGCCACGAAGGCGCTGCACCGAGGGATGACCAAGACGGTGGTGCCAAAGGACGGTCTGGTGCGACAGAGCGCGACACGAGCAGGGGGCCGCTAGCTGACCTGACGCAGACGCAGCTACCTGAGGGGACACAGTAGTCAGTGTGTACAGACTCGAGACAGGCGCTCGGGTGAACGTGGCCAGGTGCCGACCAGTCCGGGAGCACGTACAGTGGGTCACACGCTGACCTCCAGGAGTGAACTGGTCAACCCACACATCCCGGAGGTCAGCTCCACTCACCAAGTTCGTAGAGAACGAGGGGAGGTGAAGACCTGACAGTGAGCCAGACGGAACCGCTGGACATGGCAGAACCGTGGAGGAGTGCGCAAGGACTGGGCCCCCAGAGGGGTCCGCCAGGGAGACTGCAACCGGCCGACTGAGCTGCGTGAGTGTGGTGCTGTCGCGGAAGAAGGAGCGGGAAGCACCTGAGTCAAGTGTGAAGGTGTACAAGGCCTCAGAAGGCGCAGTACCAGAGAGAGCAGACTCACCAGCACCTGGAGCAGAAGACTCACTAGCACCTAGAGCAGCAGCCTCACCAGCACCTAGTGCAGGAGACTCACTAGCACCTAGAGCAGCAGCCTCACCAGCACCTGGAGCAGCAGACTCGATACTTGGGTCAGGCGGTACACACAGGTAACAGGCACCCTCAGCACTAGTAGGCAATGCATACATGGCAGTGAGGATAGCATCATAGTCAAGAGCAAAGATATCCACCCTCTGCCTAAGCAGCTCCACCCAGCTGGGGAGCTCAGCCTCGTTGCCAAACTCGGTACGCCAGGCGTCGCTCAGACAGGAGAAGCAACGGGACTGTGTGTGACCAATCGTCCCGCAAGTCTGACCAGCCCGATCACCTGTGCGAATGACGTACGGGCAACGAACAGTACTCCGAGACCCTCTACTCTGAGCGTACCACTCACGAAGTTGCTGGGGCATAAGGGTCTCGCGCAAATGCCGCTGCAGCTGCATCTGGCCACTGCCAGAAGCTCCCGGCTGACCAGCTCCAGGGCAACTGCCACTACGACCGCCGCCACAACCCCAACTAGCGTACCACTCACGAAGCTGCTGGGGCGTGAGGGACGCGCGCGGACGTCGCTGGAGCTGCATCTGGCCACCGCCAGTAGCAGCAGTAGCAGTTGTAGCACCTAGGGCAGCAGCACCTAGGGTGTGGCAGGGCGCACTGGGCGCTGCAGAGGCGGCTCGCGGGCTGCAGGGGTGGCTCGCGGGCTGCAGGGGCAGTGCGCTGGCTGCAAGAGGCAGGCGCGCTGGCTGCAGGGGCGGTTCGCGGGCTGCAGGGGAGGCTCGCGGGCTGCAGACGGGCGGCGCGCGGGCTGCAAGGGTCTGCGCGCGGGCGGCTTGCACGGGGCGGCGCGTCGCAGGGCGGGCAGGGGCGGCGCGCAGGCAGGCAGTGCGGACGGGCGTCGCGGCGGGCTGGGGCAGCCCGCTTTGGCGACGCGACGGGCACAGGCAGGGCCGATGGGCGACGCGACGGGCTGCAGGGGCGCGCGACGCGACGGGCTGCAGGGGTGCGCAGCGGGACGGGCTGCAGGGGCGCACGGCGCGGCGGGCAGCAGGGGCGCGCGATGCGACGGGCAGCAGGGGCGCTTACCAGGGGCGGGTGCAGGGCAGGGCCGCGATGGGCGGTTAGGTCAGGGCCGCAACGGGGCGGCTATAGGGCAGGGCCGCGACGAGGCGGCGGCAGAGCAGGGCCGCGACGGGGCGGCAGCAGGGCAGGGCCGCGACGGGGCGGCGGTAGAGCAGGGCCGCGACGAGCGGCTGAGGGCAAGGCCGCGACGGGTAGCGGCAGGGCAGGGCCGCGACGGGCGGCGAGGTCAGGGTCACGACGGGCGGCGAGGTCAGGGCCGCGACGGGCCGTCAGGGCAGGGCCGCGACGGGCCGAGAGGGCAGGGCCGCTACGGGCCGAGAGGGCAGGGCCGCTACGGGCGGCAGTAGGGCAGGGCGCGCGACGGCGCAAGTGAGGCAGGCGCGAGGCGCGCTTCGGGCAGGGCACGAAAAAACGATCGTGGTGGGCCCTTAAAAAAAACGTTCCCACTAGGGAACCTGCTCTGAAACCATGTGAAAGATAGAACGAGGAAAGATTGCATTGAGCAGCATGAGGAGTACAAGTAGGAAACCCTAAAGTGTTGTACCCCATATGAACTACCCCACTACAGCCTACACAGACTATAGCATATAAGTTTGACAGTTCGCCGGTAATGGAGCTATTACACCACTTCTTGTTCCTTCTAACCAAGGCGAACGTTTGGGTCCTGGTTTCAATTTCGATCAGAAGGAGACGAAGAAGCTACTCCCGAGGCAGAATCTCAGAATCGATATAGAACGACTGGCTTACATGTTTCGGGACTTGTTGTAACTGTACAAAATCAGGCATTTTTTATCAAACTAACAACTCTCAACCAGGCAGTGAAAGGGCCACACTTGGAAATATGGCGCGAAGCCACAGACAAGGGATTGAAGGCACTGCACGATCGAAACATGTGGTAATTAATCCCTCTTTCCTATGTTGTTGGGCAGAATGTGTTATCTAGCACGTGGGTGTTTTGCGTTAAAACAAATGCGAATGGGGCGATCAACCGTTTTATGGTGAGGTGGGTCGTTCGCGGCTTCGATCAGACGCATGGCGTTGTTTATGACGAGATTTTCGTACCCGTTGGTCGCCACATGTCGCTCCGTATAGTACTCACTCTCGCAGCTTCTTTGGGTTTTAAGCTTCGACAAGTTGAAGTCGCTACGTCATTTCTTTACGTTCTCGTTGACTCTCTCATTCTCGTCAAGCAGCCGTACGGATCTGTCACCGACCCTTTGAAAGTGTGCAAGCTTAACAAATATATCTACGGGATTATGCAAGCCACACGCTTGCGGGAGCAGCACCATCACGTTCGGCCCGTTCTCATCGGATTTTGTCAGTTTACCGCATGATCAAGGCATGTACCATCTCGATCGAGACGGTGCATTCGTCCTACTCATTGTTTGTATCAACGATCTTCTTTACGTCGGCACCACCCCCTCCATCTTTTTGAACTGTGAAGGGGCGCTGCAAACGGATTTAACGCTGACAATTTCAGCTGTCGTCATACAGTACCTCATCCTTAATTTCACGAACTCCGACATCTATTCATCTCTCTGCTGAGAATTACAATGAAAGCTACAACTTCTATGTTGTGTGCATCTAATCAGCTGGTGGGCACCAAATCTCTCTCTCCAGAAGCTGATACTCGTTATCAGCAACTCTTAGCCTGTCTACTCTTGACAGCGGTCACTTGCCGACGAAACTAGTTTTATTTTGCTATCGTTGACAGGAAATGGCCCGGCCTTTGCCTAGGCGAAGCTGACTTCACGGTCGGGAGGTGCAGCCGACTTCTCTCAGTGGTCGAGGCTGACCTGGGCAAGGAAGTCGACAGACTTGGTCGAATTCCGCAGGACCACTGCGAAGCGGCCGACAAGAGAAGTTGGCGGCGACTTGGCTGGTCGACGAAGGAGTCCGTCGACCTGCGGACGCCGACTTGGAGGCGCCGGGGACATTACATGGTCGACCGTGTCCTGCGGGGGTGCGTGTAAGTCGAACAACTGGTTTTGGCAATGTCAACCCGAAGGCTGGTATCTCGAGGTCGACGTGGCTCATCAGGCGCAACCGTCAGCACGTGGCTGGCTTGGCACTTTCGCAATGTCCGGGGCGGTGCACGACGTGCTCAGCCGCCTAAACACACCTGCTAAGTGGGTGCAGACATGTGCGCTATAGTCTCCCGCAGTTGAAACACTGACAAGTCGCCTTGGTGTAGCGCTGGCGGGTCGCCGACTTGCAACGTTGGGAAGCCGCCTCCTAGCTGTGTTGGCGCGGTGTCGACTTGCAGTGCTGGCTGGCCGCCCCCGTGCTGCGCTGGAGGTCGACCTGCCAGTGTGCTAGATTGCTATGCCAATGGTGTAGTCATTGTTGACATTGCAATCGCATCATTGTGCATAGAACGTTTGTTAGTGAAACTCTTGCCAATTTGCCCCGTGAATGCGCAAGTAGAGAGAACACGAGCAAATGCTACGATCACCCGGACCACCCGTGCTTTCCCCGTGTCCAACTCCCGGTGTAGTGTGATTATCCGCAGCTATCCAGCTCGCTCAGCATCTGAAGCGATCTGAAGGGGAGGATGTGAGGGAGCTCGAAGCTGCAATCTCTTATCTCATGTTTCTATCTTCTCTCGGACTGACCTATCAGAAGTCGCCGCTATCTAAGCTTGAAGTACTTTGCTATGTTGACGCCGATCAAACGGGTGACAATAAAAGCAGGCACTCACGTACGGGATTTATATTCTGACTTGAACCTGTTGGTACCATATCATGGCAGTCGAGTAAGCAAGAGCTGATCGCTCTTTTGTCTGTAAAATCGGGGTTTTTTTTCACGTACTACTTAGTGAAGCCAAACTAGTAGATGTGTCACGGTTCCAGCTCCTCTTTGACAACATGTCCGCAATTCGCATTGCAAACAAGACAGGCTTCGCCAGCAGGACAAAGAATGTTTCGCTGCAATACTTCTTTGTCAATGACGAAATCCAACAAGGCAAGGTACTACCCTACTAGCGAAATGGCTGCATATTTCCTGACTGAGTGACTGCTGCGACCAAAGTTCAGGTACTGCATGCTGATGCCTGAACTCTGACACATCACCGACTCCGACAACACGATCAAACAACAGAATTGAAGGGGATTGCTAAGATAAAAGTTTTGACTAACAGTAAGCAATTCAGCTCCTTATCATATCACTTCTATAATATAGTTCTTTTTTTGAGAATGTAACAGCAAGAAAGGCAAATAGTTCCGTGACTATTCACGTGACCCTACAGTAGAACTATCCTTTAGGAGCGACAACTCGGTAAACGTTCATTGATTGAATATGTACATATCTGAATATGTACTTCCCTAGACTTGATATATTGTTATAATTCCTAAATCCTTTG